CTGCAGTATTTGATGACGGCACATGTGTTCCTGTAAAATTTTCAATTATTTGGCCATGACCATGAAGATGCGGGGCCGAATTATGAGCATCTATAGTTGCATATGATGCTGAAAAATTACTAACATGAGGTGTAGCATATGATGGTTGAGAGTAACTGGTCGAATAACTAGTAGTAGCATGGCCAATTCTCCCATCCATCGGTAAGGTTGGATTCACATATTGCAAATTAGTTGCCGATGAATAAAAGGGTGAAACACTTTCTTGTATGCTACCGGAAATTTTAACATGGGATGTTTCAAATTGATTAACCAAACCCATCATGTTGTTCATCGGCATAACTATTGATGGGGTTGCCGATGCATGAGAATTGGAGTACATACGGTGTATGTTACTAGTATCATAAGAAGTTGAGGCATGTAAATTACTTTGACTCGGCCTATGCACGTAATTAGATGCATTATTGAAAAAACTAGGGCTGGCCGATAAAGTATACTCATTGAACGATCTAGTAACACCATATAAATTATTTGCATCTACAATAGGGAATTGGGTATTTATGTTACTTTTGTAGATTGCAAACCCTAGATGACGATCTCTTCATAGCAAGAACAGGCCGGAGACTGTTCAAAGCTTCTTCCCCAGTGGAGTCGCCAAAAAGTGTGTCGACACACGAACACGTCACGTGTATCCTCGATGCCGGGTGTGATGCACCACAGCTCACGTCGAAAGGAGACCCGACCGACATCGCGATACACAAGACAGTTGACGGGCGCTTTTGTAGACCCGAAGCCCCACTTACCCGGGAGGGACCCCGTCAGGGCTTGCGGCGGCTATGGGCTGCTCCAGGTCGATTCGCTCGCCCCTAGAGCCTCATGGATCCGCAGCCCTCCGGCATGAAGAACTAGCGAAGAACAAGAAGAAAGATACAAGGGGGAAATAAAAAGTAGATGAATATGAAAAAGTAATAGATGTGTTTGTTCGATTGTGTGTTGTTTCAATCGGCCGTCATCCCTAACATATATAAGAGGCGGCTGGACTTCCCGTACAAGCAAATGATCCATCTAGGATTTCCTTTCAAGAAAATTAGATCAATTCACGTCCTACAGTTCTAGTTTTAGTCCAACTCGGATTCAGCCCGAATCTGTCCCATATTTCTATCCCGCTTCTTGCGCGGGCAGTAGAAATCGCATACTAAGTCGGATGGAGTCGAGTTCAACATAAAAATTATCCGCCTCGATGATCTGCATAAGACAACGTGTGCCACTTCTTCTTTTACGACCATCTTTATGACTTTCAGGACCTATCTTTAAATACGGGTCGGATTCAATTATGTAATTTTCTGAACTGTCCGAGTCTTATAACAATTATGCAGACTGTATACTATCTTCGATGATGATGACTCCAAAAGAAAAGTTGACCGCTTAGATAATACACACAACTTCCGTGTAGAACACATTTCCATACGAGGCCATCTGAATAAACATTGGAGCCCATCTCCAACTTTTGGTTGGATTGACTTTGACAGTCTCCACCCCGACAAGCTTTCCACCCCGGCAAGCTTTCCACACTGGCAAGGTTTCTACCCTGGCAAGCTTTCACCCCGGCAAGGTTTTCACCCCGGCAAGGTTTCTACCCCGACAAGCTTTCACCCCGGCAAGGTTTCCACCCTGGCAAGGTTTCTACCTCGGCAAGCTTTCACACCGGCAAGCTTCCACGCCGGCAAGATCTCCACCCCGGCAAGCTTTCCACGCTGTCAAGGTCTCCATCCCGGCAAGCTTCATTCAGCCGGCAAAGGCCGAATAACTCACGCGACCCATCAGACACCACCTAGGTGGGTGTCTGGTCCCTCGCGTCACTTTTTCACTCAGGACTGGTCCACGAAGTTTTGCCTCTAACTTTTGCATATGAACTCGAATTGGGACAATTTTTATATTGAAATCAATCGGTTCGGCGAGACGAAGACAATTCATGTAGATCATTTTTTTCATATGAGGTCGCCTTGGGGGCTTAATCGACCAAACTGTACTCTGAATATAAGATCTTGGTACTTTGAACATAGTTTCGGCCTTTGAGATGAAATCGGACGGCGATGACCCAAACTTCAAAGATGTTCATATCAACAATACGGAACTCCTTCATGTAGATCACTTCTCCATTTAAGGTCATCTTAAATAAGTTCTTGACCGTGCGAAAATCGGGTGTCAACAATAATGCTCCTCTAAAAAATGGTATGCGTGATTATAATTTTAATTCAATTACATATGATCGATACATCATTATATCTACTATTAAAGAGGAGTATGTAGGTTGTCTCGTCCGCTTCCCTTTCTTCCAATCATTTCATTCGTTTCATCTCCACCTTCCCACCTCGCATGCACCGTTCATTTTTTTTCTATTCCGGGTTGATCCGTCCTCACAAGCTCCTCATGTCCCTACCTCTCTCCGTTATGTCTTGGACTCCCCTCGCACGGAGGGTTCCTCTACTGTGGAGGTTGCACCGCCACTGCAAAATTTGTCCTCCCATGCTCGACATACAATCCCTTTCATGGTGGTGGTGGATCGAATCTCGCGGCATTACATTACACAGGTGTCTAGCGCCTGCAAGCGCCCAAATACGAGCCTCCTCCTTTATCCTAGCAGTGACCATGGCCACCGTGGCCACCGTGGTAGCGACATCTGGAATATTCATTTTCGCGATAAGTATTTTAGGACGGAGGGAGTAGCAGAGATGACATATAATGGCACCGATAGAGAATTCGTGCACGCGCAAGGGATTTGGTGGGTGAAACGGACGTGCACCCCGGCTCGAGGCACCAGCGGAGACCACGTACCGAACCACAAAGCCAAACCAATACCAGTCAGTCGGTCACGCCGCTTATCCAGCGGCACGTCCCACAGAAAATCATGCCCAGTTGCGGAGTTGCCCACAGTACACACATCCGTCGCTCTCCCACCAAACATCAACCGTGGAGGTAGCAAAAGAAGGCACGAGAGAAGAAAAAAAGGCACGAGAAAATAGCCATCTACACACCGGGTCAGAGGAAGATACAATCTGAATCTATGCACGCCGTGCTAGGATCTGAATATACACTTTACAGTTTACACAGTGTGTATGCGATCTGGATGGCTGAATCAAAACCACAGTACCAGCACTAGCGAGAGGGAAGTATAGGGAAGTGGTTTGGCAATGCTTGACATGTCCGGCTGCTTTTAGTCAACCAGGCCACCGAGGTTTCCAGGGGCCCTTGAAACGAAATCAGCAGCAGCAGCCGGTATCTCCCGGCGGTTGGTGAGCCCTCCGAAAAAACAGAGTAATCAGACACCACCTGATTTTCTTCTGTCTGAAATGAAATGAACATCACAACCCTTTGCATCCTCTCTCGTGTCATCACTCGAGTCTTTTTAGAGATTTCAATACAAATTGTTGAATTATTTGGGTGGGCCTAACCCATCTAATAATTTTAAAAAAATCTCTAAAGACGCATGTGGGTTAAATGACACTAGGTGTGGTGGGGAATTTAGTCCAACCCCACTATTAGAGAATTGGACCTTTTTATAAGAGATTCTCTTCCACATTTTATTAGAGTTTGAGAATATAAGAGGCCCTCGCGCACTTCTCCTTCGCCGCCCGCCCCGCCCCGCCGAAGCGGCACGGAACGAGCCGAGCTCATATCTATGCATTTATTTTTACCGGTCAGGAACGAAGAGTCATTGGCAGGTGGACCACGATCTCAGATGTCGCAGGAACGAGCCGAGCTCACATCTATGCGCTTATTTTTGCCGGTCAGGAACGGAGAGTCATTGATAGGTAAACCACGATATGAGACGTCGGATCGTGGGATGTTACCGACTCGGAGCCCACGTCTCTCCACGTGGTTGCACATATATATGTGGAGCGTCTGTCAACCCTAGCCGTCAGGCGAAACAGATCGCATCTCTGCCTCCATGCCCACGCCGTTCCATTGCTGCTGCCGCCGGCCACTCCACCTCGTTCACCGCATACACGGTTGACGGAAGAGCAGGTCTCCGAAACCCGCCTCCTCGGATCCTGTATGAGAGACAGACAATTAGGTTTTTGGGAAGCAACTACGCGACTGCTCGCCTCTGTTCGTCTACTTCCTCTACGTTCGCGTCGCCTTCGTCATCACCATGTCCATGGACGCCGAACGTGCCACCGCCGAGAAACCCGAAGCCGACAGAAGGCCGCCAAGGACGCTGCTGCGGCGGCGGCGGCTTCTACCTGGCCTACTGGAGGGTATAACTTGTTTATCCCGCTCCTGTTGATTTCTGTTTTAGCCATTCTAGTGTTATACATAGATGTGTCTGCAATTAGCATAGTACTATGTGTTTGCATGATTGAATAACAATATGTGTTTGCTTCTGTCAATGCCATGCTAGTGATCTATTTTTGGATTAAATTAATAAAAAAATTGCCTATTTACTCAACACAAACTACGTAACAATGTATATAGACATATTTTAGAGTGTATATTCACCCATTTTACTCGTATGTAGTGCATATTCAAATCTCTAAATTGACTCGTACTCCTTCCGTTCCTAAATATTTGCCTTTTTAGAGATTTTAAATGAACTATCATATACAGATGTATATAGACATATTTTAGAGTGTAGATTCACTCATTTTCGCTTCGTATATACTCCCTCCGTCCGCGAATAAGTGTACTTCTAACTTTGTCCTAAGTCAAAGTTTTAAATTTTTGATTAACTTTGTCCTAAGTCAAAGTATATAGACTAACTTTGTCCTAACATTATTTTTTTCTATAAATTGGTTAAAATTTGAAAATTTTGACTTAAGACAAAAGATAGATGTACACTTATTCGGAGACGGAGGGAGCAGTCACTTGTTAAAATCTCAAGAAAGACAAATATTTAGGAACGGAGAGAGTATTTAAGAATGGAGGTAGTAGGTTGGTTGAACTGTGGCAAATGTTCTGCTTTGAAGGTTAGCACAAATGAGCATCAGCATGATGACAATCCCATGGATGCCACTAGCCCACTACTACTGATCCACTACACCAGTAGCAGTACAATTTATAATTCAGAAGAACTGAAGAAGTACCTCAAGAAGTTCAGTCTGCCTGCCCCCTGCGTCTCCGACCCCACTCACCTACCACCAACCGCCCCCATCGCCTCCTTCCCTTCCACCACCGTATAAAGTCGCTGAGCGCCACCAGCACCACCAGCTCCACCACCGTCTCCACCAACCTCAGAGCAGAGCAGAGCAGAAGCAGAGTCGCGGCAGCCACAATGGACGTGGCGTCGCTGCTCCCGTTCGCCATCGCGCTGGTGGCGATCCCGATCTCGCTGGCGCTGCTGGACCGGCTGCGGCTGGGGCGGCTGCCGCCGGGCCCGCGCCCGTGGCCGGTGGTGGGCAACCTGCGGCAGATCAAGCCGGTGCGGTGCCGCTGCTTCCAGGAGTGGGCGGCGCGGTACGGGCCCATCATCTCCGTCTGGTTCGGCTCCTCGCTCACCGTCGTCGTCTCCACCTCCGAGCTGGCCAAGGAGGTGCTCAAGGAGCACGACCAGCAGCTCGCCGACCGGCCCCGCAACCGCTCCACCCAGCGCTTCAGCCGCAACGGCCAGGACCTCATCTGGGCCGACTACGGCCCGCACTACATCAAGGTGCGCAAGCTCTGCAACCTCGAGCTCTTCACCCAGAAGCGCCTCGAGGCGCTGCGCCCCATCCGCGAGGACGAGGTCACCGCCATGGTCGAGTCCGTCCACCGCGCCGCCGCCGGCCCCGGTAAGCTGCCATCCCAGATCGCACGCCCCTCTTCCTTTTCTTTTCCTTTTTTTCCCTTTTTTTTCCTCCACCGCACATTTCGTAGACAGACAGGTGTGCGTGCGTGCCATTTCGGAGAAAGCGGGGGTGGTTGCTGCAAAACAAAGAGAGGGAGGTATCTTCTGTCTGAAGAATCGTTAGGCGAGTGGAGGTGGTGTCCTCGTGTTTGGTGGGTTTGGTCGACCAATTGCTCTGCTCTGTCGTGTTGACTAGGCAAAACGGTGCCGAACATGAGTCTTGCAACCAATCTTGATTGTCTTCAGCACCAAATTCGCAATGGATCGCAGGAACAGTGTCGTACTTTGCTAGAGTACCGATTTGGTGGTATGGTAAACAGGGTTGATCTGTTGAAATGCCTCCATGGGGTGCATTCCTGTTGAGTGGCCACATGTCAAGCGCGTTGCTAGAGTACTGAATCGTTAAGATATGGAATAAATAAACGTAAAATGTAGTGACACCAATCAATCATCATCGGTCAGCTCTAGTGTGTTGAGGAGCCTTGAGTTTATTTTATTTTTCCGCAGACTGGATCTCAACACGATCATGGTGGTTGCACGTTAGTATACAAGTAGGCTGCCCTTCACATGAGGCTTAGTACACATGGGGTTAGTAATAGTAATCTTGATTCTACATGCCGTTTAAGCTTCAGGCTAAGGCAGTTTGCTGCTTTCTGCATTACTGTAAGTTCAGATAATTCGATGCCACAAATAGACCATGACGCTACTCGATCCCTTTATCAGTAGAACAGTTTGTCTTATTGTGTACTAGCGCCGAGCTGAGGATCACCTGAAAAACTGTATGACATTTTGGCCTTCCAGTGAGTCAGTGTTATGATAAGCACACTCCTTGTGGTAATGAGCCGTTTTTAATGACACTATGCTATTTAAGGCTCATGGCATAATACTTGTTTGGCCAAGCCGGAAATCTTGACTTGACTATCATGGCCACACAAATCATATATAGAATTATAGAGTGCTATTTTTATCTTATCTTGAAATTTCACCCATTCAACGGTTGTAGCTCTGTATTGGCACAGAACTGATGTAGTTTTGGTGTACAATTTGGGATAAATTTATATGTTGTGAATTTAGGAGCAGCTTACCTTGTACTGTTTGGCAACAATACCCATGTTTTATCTGCCCAAAAATCTTATCTTGATGTCCGACAGACGGAGCTTTTATTAATAGCAATGGACATATACTGGTATACGTACTAGAACGGATCAGATTGATGATAGCTTCAGGTGTGAGTTTGATTGCAATCAGTATAGGCTTTAGTCCTTAGGCAGTGTTACTATAGCATTTGGGTTATTGGTATTTGATTGAGAGCATTTAGTCCTGACCGTTATTCATTAAGTTAACTGGTATCACAAGTCCAAAAACTGGGAGTCCAAGTATGTGAAATGATTTATCATGGTACTAGCACGACGACATGTTAAGGAATCTTTTTTCAGTACGCAAAGTGGAATGCTTGGTGTGCATTAGACATAAAGAAGTGGCAACACATCCTTCCTATTACATCTCACTGGTGGTCTCTGGTTCGTGGTCAGTGGCACACATACAAATTACAACTTACTTTCACTTATTGTACTGTGCATTATGCTCCAAATGCATGGTGTCTCATCAGGAATATGCTAGACTAATTAAACGTCATTTGATGCCTCCCTCTGCCTCAACCCTGTTATTTCAACCTTTTTAGGAATATTTCAAAATTTTTTTCGCCCTTCTCTTTCTTCCAAATACATCTGGCATCGCGTTAATTTCATATTCAATGTGTGTTTCAGTATTAATGTACTCCCTCCGTTCCTAAATATTTGTCTTTCTAGATATTTCAACATTTTGCTCCGTATGTAGTCACTTGTTGAAATCTCTAGAAAGACAAATATTTAGGAACGGAGGGAGTAGGTATATAAGCATAGCCTTCTCTCTGATAACATGTTAGTGTACTCTAGGAATATAAGCTAGCAGATATACAGAAGAAGAAGAAAAATACAGGTTTAGCTTTATTTTCTTGGGACATTCTTTGTCAGTGAACGCAAACATTTGTGCCTGGTGTGTGGGTTTGCTTGTGTTCAACTGGATATCCACATGGATCCTTTGCGCTAATGTTTAGGTTTTTGCGGTTGCTGTGGAAAACACTAATTGGTTTATGCCCCTTACTTTTACGTTATGTTAGGTTTTTGGTATAATTTAGAAGAGCATTTATTGTTCTATTGTTTGCTCTTGCTGTTAATTCATGAGCCGGCCTCACAAAACGGAAATATGGCATATCCCACATGACATACACAATGTAACGGTTTATATTACCTAATCACTTTAAACCCTAAACTAGCTTGGGCTCTTTCCCAACAGTATTGACTATTGAGTTTTAAATTAACTATTAATATATTTTTTCAGGTAATGAAGGAAAGCCATTGGTAGTGAGGAATCACCTTGCTATGGTGTCCTTCAACAATATAACAAGGCTAGCTTTTGGGAAGCGGTTCATGAATGCAGATGGTGACATTGACGAAGAAGGGCAGGAATTCAAGCTTATTGTCAACAATGGGATCAAAATTGGTGCATCTCTTTCTGTTGCTGAATACATTTGGTACTTGAGATGGCTGTGTCCACTTAATGAGGAGCTTTACAATACCCACAATGAGAGAAGGGATCGTCTGACCAAGAAGATCATTGAAGAGCATGCACAGGCCCTCAGGGAGAGTGGTGCCAAACAGCACTTTGTGGATGCTCTGTTCACTCTCAGAGAGAAGTATGACCTTAGTGATGACACAGTTTTCGGACTTCTATGGGTATGTAGGATGCCCCTTTATAACTACGTAATTTATCTTCTTATATTCCATTCTCCTGTTTGTTTCAAATGAGATCCCCTGCTAATTTTTAATGTCGAATGGGATAGCAATGCCTTCGTAGTTCTTCCATTCTTCGCACAAATGCTACATAATAGCTTTCATTAAATTGATTTATTTATGGATCAAGAGAAATCTCATTAAGTTTAGTTAGATTCAGTAGGTAAATTTAGGTGAGACGCCACTATCTCAAGGTTGTTGTAAGATGCTGGGATTGGAAAATGTATGTTTACTTTCGAGTTGGAAATTAGGTAGTGCTTTATCGTTACAATCATTCAACTACCAAAAATGCTTTGCAAGAGTCTGCAGGCTACTCAGCTACTCCCTCCGTATCAAAATATAAGACGTTTTTTGACACTATCAGTGTCAAAAAACATATATTTTGATACGGAGGGAGTATTATTAAAAAAAATCATTGGATGCCTCTTCATATTTCTATCTTGCACATGCCAAACTTAATAAACTTGTTCATACCGGTAAATCAATACCTTAGAAGTACACAATATATGCTATTTACTGAACTTCAAGCCTGGTAATCTCATTTGGCTTTTTATACGTTCTTAGCTCTTACCAAGTACCATCCCCTTCTTATGTTCAGGACATGATCACCGCCGGAATGGACACGACAGTCATATCAGTCGAATGGGCCATGGCAGAGCTGGTCCGGAACCCCAGGGTGCAGAAGAAGCTGCAAGAGGAGCTGGACAGCGTGGTCGGCCGCGACCGCGTCATGTCCGAGACCGACTTCCAGAACCTGCCCTACCTGATGGCCGTCGTGAAGGAGTCCCTCCGCCTGCACCCGCCGACGCCGCTCATGCTGCCCCACAAGGCCAGCGCGAGCGTCAAGGTCGGCGGCTACAGCATCCCCAAGGGCGCCAACGTGATGGTGAACGTGTGGGCGGTGGCCCGGGACCCCAAGGTGTGGAGCAGCCCGCTGGAGTTCCGGCCGGAGCGGTTCCTGGAGGAGAGCATCGACATCAAGGGCAGCGACTTCAGGGTGCTGCCCTTCGGCGCCGGCCGGAGGGTGTGCCCCGGCGCGCAGCTCGGGATCAACCTCGTCGCCTCCATGATCGGCCACATGCTGCACCACTTCGAGTGGTCTCTGCCGGAGGGCGCCAGGCCGGAGGACATCAGCATGATGGAGTCCCCCGGGCTCGTCACCTTCATGGGCACGCCGCTGCAGGCCGTCGCCACGCCGCGCCTGGAGAATGAGGAGCTCTACAAGAGGGTCCCGGTCGAGATCTGAGCGGCCTGTGCTGCTTTGCTTGGGGTGTTGCGCTGCTTTCAGCTAGGTGCTGGATGGAGCTCGTGTTGTTGTAAATCGTGAGGTGTTTGACTGCCTTTTGAATGAATCTCATAAAGCGACGACGGCAGATCGCAGATCATTTCTCCCTTTATTAGGTGTTCCTTCGGATATAATAGTTTTGTTTTTATGTTAATAACAGTTTAACACAGCAAATCATTCTAGACAATGTATTTCTCCACATAATATATCTCTTCTGGACTGAAATTCGGCACTGATTGCACATTTTAGGCCCTGCTAAGAAACTTTGGAAACCTGAGGTTTGTTTTGTTGTTCATGGGCCCATTCCATTTCAATTTCGTTTTCTTCTCTCACGGTAATGTTTATCGTTGTCCCCCAAGGATGTGTTTTGTTGGGAATCAAGTGTAATGAATGCTGTGTTCAGATGTCTGTATTGAGGTCCCGAATTGGATTTGGATTTGGATTTTCCCAAACCCCCTCCCACCGCGGCGCCAGGCACATCTCCTCGCTGCAGGATTCGAACCTAGGTCCTTCACAATAAGCACAGCCGCAATAACCAGCTAGGCAACCGGGCCTCTAGTGTAAAGTAAGTATTTTTATACTTGAAATACAACACTGGAAAAGCCCAACATTTTCTGGTTGTCTTTTTCATTTCTTTTTTGTTTCTTAAATGCGTGAAGTTCTTATAATTCGTGATTTTTAAATCGAAAATGATGACAAAATTTCAAATTCTTGATTTTTTTTTCAAATCAGTGAACTTTCTTTCCCCAAAATTGATCAGTTTTCTTCACAAATTCATGAACTATTTCGCAAGTTGGAAATTTGTTTTTGAAAATTGTTGGTCTTTTTTATAAATTGATGAACTTTGTTTCTAAATCAATGGATTTTTTAAATTTTGTTAATTTTTTTCCAAATCAATGAACTTAATTTGAATTATTGATGAACTTTTTTCAAAATCAATAAAAGAAAAGAAAAACAAAATAATATAGAAACCCATGTAAAAACTGAAGAAAAAACCAGCCTAGTTGAAAAGGAAAACCAGAGTCTTTCTTTTTAGCGTTATATTTGACGCACTACAAAAGATGAAAAAAGGAAACTTAGACCATGATCAACGGAGGTATTCGAGTAGGCGAGATGGCTCCGTCTAAGAGCACGTCGTTTCCCGACATGCTTGAAATGGCCCCAATTTTTTTCATGCCTTGTATGACCAATTCAAGGCACCATGCCAAGTTGTTTTGGTTTTTGACAAATTTTACATTTTTCGTAGTTTTCTCGGTAAAAAAATGCTCGATAATGGGAGGTCATGTCGCAACTTGCATACGGTGTCAGAAATCGTACAAACCTGGCATGGATGACTACCATGGTCATGCCCACCTGCTTGAAAAGGTTGGGATCATTTTAAGAATGTCCAAAAGTAACCCATGTTTAATGAAGGGGTGTTCAGGTTGGCTAGAAGGCTCTACCTGAGGGTGCGTTGTTTCTCGATATTCTTCTAAAGGCCTAATTTTTCCACCTACTTCTATGATCAAATCAAGGCACCATGTCAAGCTGTTTAAGTTTTCTACAATTCTTTCAATTTCTAGAGTTTTCTTGGTGAAAGCAAGCTGATAAAATGACCGGACGTGACAGAACATGCATATGTTGTGGGAAATTCATTTAAACCTGGCATGGATGCCTACCATGAACATGCATAGGTTGATTTCATGCATGTTCAAAAATAGATCATGTTCAACAAAGGGTGTTCGGGTAGGCGAGAAGGGTCCATTTCTTCATCTTTTTTGGTGAGAAAATTGGGCCATTTCAAATATGTTGAAAAATAACATGCTCTCAGATGAACCGTTCTGACCTTACCGAATAATCTCCATTGAACATGGTGTTTTTTGGACATCCTTGAAATGACCCCAACTAATAAATACAAAGGGATAAAATTGAAAACAGTAAGTGTTTTTTAAAACATTTAATAAATATTTTATATTTTTATTAAATCACTAGTTTAAAAGGTTAGTTACAACTTGTATTTTGGTATTCAAAAAAGAGAAAAATGAGTTAACAAAATAAGAAATCAAATGAAAAAACAGAAAATAAAATAAAACGCTTAGGCCTTGGCCCAACTAGGCGACGACATTGCTCTCGTCGGGCACGTGTTGGGCCGGTCCAAGAGCTCCATGGATTTGAATATTTTCACAAAAAATCGAAATAAAGTTCACTATGAAATTTGCAAAAAAGTTTTCTCGGTCTTGGGAACCTCGGGTTCCCAGCCATTTTTTCCTGTTTTGGGACCTTCTCGGAGGTCGTGAACCATGTTTTTCTTTTTCTTTTTGTCTTCTCTTGTGTTTATTTGTTTGTCTTCTTAGACTTTTCGTTTATTATGTTTATTTTTTATATTTCTCATATTTTTTTTTCAGAATTCAAATTTTGTTCATATTTTTCTTTCTTTTCTAGAATTCCATTTTTTTTACTTTTTTCAAAAAATGTTCGTGTTCGAATTTTTTTATTTTTTTAAAAAACTGTTCGTATTTTGACATTCTGAGCATGTTTGAAAGGCATGAACATTTGTTTTGAAATTTATGTACAATTTTTAAAAATACAAATATTAGTATTTTATGAACAAAACAGGAAAACTAGAAACCCTAAAGAAAACCGTGCAAAAAAAAAGAGACATAAACTAAAGAGTGGAGGTGCTGTGTTTTTTTATTGGGCACAAGAAGTGGAAAACAAGCCAAGACAGCAAATCTGATGTGCTGTCCCGGATGGTTTGTGCGGCTACACGTAGCGCGTGGGGGCTGTGGTTCGAGTCCAGCCGATGGCATCTATTTTTTGACAATTAAAACTAAAAAAACGTAAATGGGCTGAGCCTGTGGTTCGAATCCAGCCGATGGCATCTATTTTTTGACAATTAAAACTAAAAAAACGTAAATGGGCTGAGCTCATCAGGGATGGCTGTTCGTCGGGTATTATAAGAACCTGCAGCGTATATACGTTCTATGTGAGCAGTTTTAATATGGTCCCTCTTACCCCCGCTTTTCACATGAGAGGTAAGAGTATAAAATAGATCTGAGCCATTGATCTCATTAATTAATGGCCTGATTAACTCTTACCTTCTTACCTCACATGTAAAAAGAGGAGGTAAGAGGGACCACCTCATCAGGGATGGCTGTTCGTCGGGTATTATAAGAACCTGCAGCGTATATACGTTCTATGTGAGCAGTTTTAATATG